TTCCTTGTAGCAACGTTGAGCTTCCTGTAGTCAATACACATCCTGTGCCCAGTGATGGTCCTTGTGGGAATCAGCTCATTCTTCTCATTTTTCACCACTGTGACTCCTCCTTTCTTGGGAACCACATGCACTGGACTGACCCAAGTGCTGTCTGAAATCGGATAAATGATCCCAGCAGCCAGAAGTTTCATGATTTCCTTCTTCACTACATCCTGCAAGTTCGGATTCAGCCTTCTACAACAAATAATTTTTCTTTTATGCAAGACTTTCAAATTTATTTTGGTTATAATAAATTGTTCACCGTGGAACCGGAAGGTAAAAGCGGGGGACTTGATTTGTTTTATATGGATGCTTTTGATGTTAAAATCATGTTCTCAAATGATCGTCTGATAGATATCGAGGCAGTTGTAGAAGGGAGAAAAGTCTTTATGACACTGGTTTATGGAGATCCGGTCCCAGAGTACCGAGCGCTGGTGTGGGAAAGATTGACACGTATAAGTACCACGAGATCAGGAGACTGGTTTATGATAGGTGACTTCAACGAGATCACAGACCACCACGAGAAGCGAGGGGGGCAAAAGCGCTCGGACGCATCCTTTATCCCTTTCAATACATTGTTGGACGATTGTGGGATGATGGAATTTCCCGCTAAAAGGAATACATTTTCATGGATGGGCAATCGCCGAAGTGGCTGAGTTCGCTGTAAACTAGACAGAGCCCTTGGCAACGAAGAGTGGCATTATGACTTCTCCCACACTTCTGTGGAGTATCAAAAGCTATAGGGGTCTGACCACCGCCCCGTCTTAGCACGTGTCCAATCAAGAAAGGGAAGAGTGAAAAAAGAATTTTAAAATCGACAAGCAATGGCTGGAAAAAGAGGGATTGATAGAGGCTACTATTGAGGGATGGGAATCCTCATGCTCTACGGAAGGGAGTAACATATATTCAAAGATAGGCAACTATCAAAGAACCATCTCCATTTGGAGACGCCTAAACCCGTCCAGCACCATCAGAAAGATCGAAGAGATCAAGGCAAAGTTAGAGTTAGCTCAAGAAGATGATAGAGTTACAAATGAAGAGCTTTTTATCCTAAAATGGAATCTCTGTAGCGCATTCAGAGAGGAAGTACTTTATTAGAAGCAAAAAAGCCGTGTATCTTGGCTAAAAGAAGGGGACAAGAATATAAAGTTCTTCCACGCTATCACCAAACAGAGAAGGGCAAGGAATAGGATCTTTAAACTAAAAAACAGCAATGGAGTATGGATCGAGAATGAGCAAGGTATAGAGAAAGTTGTTGTAGACCATTTTAAAGATCTTTTTACCACAGAACATCCCCAAGATTTTGAGGAAGACCTCCGGTATGTTACCGCGCAAGTTACCTCATCGACTAATGAGAAGCTGACATATAAACCATCAGAGACCGAGATCAAGAAAGCCCTCTTTGCAATAAACCCAGAAAAGGCTCCAGGCCCGGATTGGCATGACAAGTCTTTTTTTAGACGGTTCGGGGAGGTCCTCTCGAGAGACATAATTAGGATGGTGCATGACTTTTTTGAGCAGGATAAATTCTATCCACAATTAAATCAAACGGATATCTGCTTGATACCGAAAACCAAGAGACCAACTGGAATGTCTGAGTTCAGACCTATCAGCCTCTGTAATGTTTGCTACAAAATTACCTCAAAGATCTTAAGTACAAGACTTAAAAAGATCCTCCGAAAATTAATTTTGGAGACTCAATCAGCTTTTGTGGCTCGACGTCTAATCACAGACAATATACTAGTGGCGCAAGAAGCCTTCCACGCCTTAAGAACGAACCAGATGTGCAAATGCAAATTTTTCGCTATCAAAACAGACATGAGCAAAGCCTATGATCGAGTTGAGTGGGCTTTCCTGGAGGCTTAGATGCTCAAGATGAGCTTTGCAGAAAAATAGGTTAAATGGATTAAAAGATGCATGTCTTCCGTAACATATAGAGTGCTGCTTAACGGGGAAGCAAAAGGGAATATTATCCCTACAAAAGCTCTGCGACAAGGGGATCTCCTATCTCCCTTTCTGTTTATAATCCTCACGGAAGCACTCTTAGCAAAGATTAGAGGAGCAGAAGAAGAAGGGCGGATTACAGGCCTAAAAATTGCCAGTACATGCCCAAGTATATCCCACCTCCTTTTTGCAGATGATAGTCTGTTCTTCTGTAAGGCAGACAAGACGGAATGCGCTGAACTCATTAAGATAGTTGAGGACTATGGTAGAGCTTCAGGACAAAAGCTAAACTGCTCCAAATCATCTGTTTTATTTGGGAGTAAGGTAGAGACAGAATGCAAAAATGAGATCAAAAACACTCTTGGAATCCAGCAAGAAGGCGGTATGGGAGTTTATTTAGGATTGCCTGATAAAATTTGTGGTTCAGAGAAACAATTTTTTGCATTCATTCAGGATCGTCTCAGCCAAAGGATTAATGCCTGGTCCTCAAAACTTCTCAAAGGGAGGAAAGGAAGTTCTGATTAAGTCAGTAGCACAGGCGCTGCCTACTTATGTCATGTCATGTTTTCTGCTCCCGAAATCTATTCTGAAGAAGCTCAATGGAGCAATTTCCCACTTCTGGTGAAGTACAAAACAAACAAAAAAGGCTTACACTGGATAGCCTGGGATAAAATCTGCAGTGACAAAAGTAAAGGGGGTCTAGGATTTAGAGATCTAAATAGTTTCAATATAGCGCTGCTTACGAAACAACTATGGCATTTAATCCACTACCCATCGTCCCTACTGGCTCGCGTTCTAAAAGCGAGACCTCTGGAGGTGGAACGCGCAAGTAACCGCGGAGCATAATGGCGGGTAAAGAGCTACTACTTGCAGGATTAAGGAAATCAATAAATTCAGGAATTAGTACAAAGGTCTGGTACGATAACTGGATACCAGTCTGTCCACCCCGCCTGGCCCAAGATAATGGAGGAGAGAGAGATGCAGACCTTTATGTCCATCATCTTATTGACCCAGCCACCTCAGCATGGCGTATACCTCTCCTGAATACCCTTTTTGATCTGGAGAAAGTTCTGCGTATAAAGAGTATACGTCCCAGTAGAGCTTATAAACCAGACAGATTTATATGGGCATATACAAAGTCAAGGATATACTCGGTCAAAACAGGATATGACCTGGCGATCCAAATACGGGATGCAGAATGCAGATCACCAATCCTCGAACCAAGCTTCAATCCATTAAAAACGAAGATATGGGAACAAAAGACATCAGGGAAGATCAAACACTTTATGTGGCAATCCTTGCCAGGATTTATAGCAGCCAATGATCAGCTGGTTAACCGTCATTGCTGGACAGATCGTCAGTGTCCACGGTGTGGAGCGACAGAAGAGACAATTAATCATGTTCTTTTCGAATACCCTCCATCTACACAGGTATGGGCACTTAGTACGATACCATCTGCTCCAGGGTTTTTCCCGTGCCCGGTTATATCACAAAAAATTTCTTACCTTACCGAACGAGCCTCCGAACAAGGAGTCCCGAAAACATGCCTAGAGGTGTTCTCTTGGATCCTCTGGTATATATGGAAGGCTCGGAATGATAAGGTATTTAACAATAAGGAGGTCTCACCAGCTGAGACACTTGAGACGGCAATGCGAGAAGCTGAGTAGTGGAAAATAGCACAACTTGCAGACCAAACCAACCCAGCTCAGGGGATCAGTTCGGCAGCATGTTCGGAAGCACGACAAGTACGACAAGAACAAAGCCGAATACTAGATATTGCGAGATGTCAGGTTTATGCCTCTTGGACCCAGGAGGGGCTTATAGCTGGAGGAGATTTTGTCTTGGAGCGCAAAGACGGGAGCCGGATGGTGGGCTTGACAGCGTTTAATCAAGTCTTATCCCCACTTCATACGGAGATGGAAGCCTTACTATGGGCTATGCGAGTCCTCACACCATGCCATATTCCTCGTCTAATTTTTCAAACAGATTGCCAGCTATTGGTAAGACTAATTGAAGAAGAAGAAGAATGGCCGGCTTTAGCAACGGAATTAGAAAAGTTTGAGCTTCTCGAATCTTATCTCCATAATTTCTCTCTTGAATTCATTCATTGCAATTTTAATGTCCGGGCAGATTGTCTCGCTAAGAGCACTCTAACCCGAAATTATTCTTTTTCCTATGTAAACAATTTTCTTCTAAATTGGTTGGCTCTTAAGTCATCCTTCTTTGGGATCTAATAATACAAAGATCTTTTGACGTAAAACAAAAAAAAGAAAAAAAATATTTCTCAAGAATCCCTTCTAAGCACTTTGAAATTTCAAATCTCAAATTCTTTTAAAATTTCTTTAAATTTAGATCATTTCCAAATTATCTCAAATCAATGATTCAATATGCCCCCTAAGATTCGACGAAAACATTTAGTTTAGTGGTTTGTGCTAATGTTGTCTCTCTGTGTTACCACATGGATTCAAAACTTCCATAAGCATAATAGAAATGGAATTTAAACCGAAATCAAAAGCACACAAATAAACGAACCTAACAAGATTTGGTTTCATTTTAATTTTGTTGACCTCAAACCCAAAATTCCATGAACCCAAACCAACGGGGGGTTACGTCTAAATCTACCGGTTAATAAGATTAAGTAGTATTGACAAGCAGAACAAAAAAGAAGCCGTCGACAGCAGGGTTCGAACCTGCGCGGGCGAAGCCCAATAGATTTCAAGTCTATCTCCTTAACCACTCGGACATATCGACATTTTGTTTACTTGATGCAATGAACAATTAATATATTTATTTTCCAACGAACTTTGTTGTAAATTAATGTTGCAATGGAGAGAATTGATATATTTTATTTTCCAACGAAAGTTGTATGCAGCTATTACACGAGAAACTACATGGTTTTAAGCTTCTTCCAAGCCAAAGTATAAAACACATGTCAATTTTTAAATGTAAATAAAAAAAGAGAAAAAAAATAGTCAAGAGGAAGAAAAGAATGAATGAAACCAAGAAAATTACATAACATGGAGATCTTCTTTGAATGATGATGATGGTGCACTTATGGATATATATGATAGAAATATGAAATCTAGAGAGCTCGACTTTTGATGATGTCGAGACTCATCTCGCTCGGATCTGTGGCTTGTAACTCCACCTGAATCCCATCCAACTCTCTCTTGAACCTGTCCTTTGAGCTCGCATACACCATCTTCATCCTCACCCTCGATGAATCCGGTGACCTACAATACACATGCATCATCCATAATCAATATATATGTTCCATAACAGAAGACCATGCCATACTAATCAAATCCGCATAATGCATATTGTTAATGAGAAGAAGAAGAAGAAAAGGAAAATGCATAATGTTTGCATGACATGATAGGGTATTGTATTAGTTACCATGCTATGAAGAAGATCTTGCTCTTCTGGCAATTCTCAGCAGTGGTGAAGTCGAAGTCATAGACAGCGTAGCGACATTCGTTGGCCGGTAAGGAATTGGAGAAATCGTCGTAGTTCTCCTCGGGACTTCCAAGCTTTTCGACCACCACTTGTTGTCCATCTATCCTGAAAATTATGAACCTATAGTTTCTTTTCGCTTTTAGCTCCAAAAACTTGAGCTTACACTCGTCTTCCACCGCCATTCCCGACGCCGCGTTCGCCTTTTATAATTCATATAGTTACATGAGTTATAACATATAGTAACATCTAAAAACATTTCATATAACCTATATGAATATGTGGATGTAAAAACATGTTAAAAGAAAATACAAGTTAAGTTTTTAATAAACTTTTTTATTTGTTTGTTTACGTTTGGTATTTGCTTTTGCTATGGTTTTAGTTTTTGGAAAATCACCATAACCCATGTGCAAAACAAGAATGATGATTAAAACATATATAAACGCAACTTCATTACAAAGAGGAAGAGAGTAAAGAGAGAACACACCATTGCGTTTGGTTGATGAAGGTAAACCTAAGACAACAAAGAGAGAGATACAAGACTTCTTGTTTTGTTTTTGTTTTTTTGGTCCTCTTTTGTGGGAGGAGAGATGAAGAAGAATGAAGAAAAAGGGAAATGTAAAATTTTGGGTGAAGAAGAGATTCTTAATTTGATTTGAAGAAGCCAAATCGAGACTAACTCGGACAAACCATTAAATGCATCTCCTCTCTTTTTAACATCAAAACCACACCTTTTTTTCCTCTCTTTCCTTCAAATTCGCCTAACCATCCTTTCTTTCCGGCCAAATTACTTTACTCTAAATTTAGCATCCTTATCATTAAGTTCTATGTCTATCGTTTGGTTGATATGTCGTTCTGATCGGTTTCGTTCGGTTCAGAAGATATCTGAAACAGAATTTGACTGTGTGGTTCTCTATTACATAACATTGTTCTGAACCTTGAAACAGAGTGTAATTTGTCCTTACACGACTCTAAAGGCAGATAAGAAAACAAAAATGTTGAATCTTTCCTACAAAATTGACGACCCTTTTCAGATCCTCTTAAATTAAGTTGTGATCATCCTACGAAATTGACAACCTTTGGTCCTTGTTTCTTTTTCTCGATGCTCTTCTGAACTGAATCATCAGGTGTAGTAGTATCATCAGAGGTCTTGAGCTTCTTGCTGATTATAGGCTCTTCATAGAAGTCGTCCTCAAGATCATCTCCACTAAACTTAGTGAGTTTCCCTCTTGGTGTAGCATCAAACCCTGTCGTTTTCATGAGGGAGAGAGATAAAGTTACGGTCTTTATAAGACAAATTAATTGACTATGAAGCTCAAGAAAATGCAAGAAAGTGTTTACTTGAACTCTTTCTTGGTGCTGAATTTCTCTCGAGTTTATCAGGACAGTCTTTGACGAGATGCGCCACACTCCCGCACACTTTACAAGACCCACCCTGCAAAAGAAAGTCCATCGAAATTTATTGTCGAACATGTCGAAAAATACAATTTGTAATGAGGAAAAAGAAACAAGATTTTGAGCCATTGTACCATTGGGTAGACTCCATGCTTGTTTTGAGGGCAGTTCTTGCTTATATGCCCATTCTCCTTGCATATGAAACAACTTGCAAATTTGGTTCCTCCTACAAAAGTATCACCCAATCTAAATCTTTAGTGACAAATGAATACTAGCAGAGCCACAAAATACAACAGATCTTTGAGCGTACTGAGAGGTTAAATCAACAACTCTTCTTGTTACTTTTATTCAAATCTTCTGACAGGACAAAAGATAGATAAACAAACAGGCTTTACCATCTTCCAAAGGATGAGGACAGTGTGAAAGTGAATGGCCAGTATCTCCACAGTTGTAACAAAGCTTCTTCTCGAAGCTGCTCTCATCGTTCTTGTCTGGACAATTCTTGAGACTATGCCCTCGCCTTCTGCATTGCAAGCATATCTACAAGCAATATAAACAAACTTTAATAAACCTATACTTTATCCCCTTTCCAGCAACCACCAAGTGTAATGATCATCAAAGTCTCAACATTCAAGAAACATGCAAAATCCAGATCTTCAACTCAATTAAGCCCTTGATAGACTCTTAACAAGAGCTGCAAGAACCTAGTCACCAAGATATAAACAGGAAATGTAACTATATACTGCTTCTTGCTAAACCCTACTAGACCCAATTGAACAAAAACCCTAATACAAAGCCAACAATTAAAGAAGAAAACAAGAGTTTAGAAGAGAGAAAGCGAACCTTGTTTCTCTCCCACTCGGATTTTTCAGGGCAGAGCTTGGCAATATGGGTTTTGGATTTGCAGATATAACAACCTTCCCCAGGTTTCATACCAGGAACTCGGAGAGGATGCGTCGTCGTCGAGGAGCCTCTTCTCATGGGTTTAGTAGAGGAAGATCCAGGTTTCTTCCGCTTGAACAAGCTCTTCTTCTTCTTCTTCTTATCGGGATCCTTTGGCGGCGTCGGCTCTGGTTTTGGAAACTGGTCTGGGTGAGCTTCCTTGTATCGCTTCCGCGCAAGTCTTTGCCTTTGGCTCACCATTGTCAAGTGTTGTATTCCAGAAAGAGACGATTGATTTCACCGGCGGCGATAGAGGCAGTGAAGATGACGAAAGACGCAGAGGTTTGTTTCTAGCGAGGCTTCTTGTTCGTTGAGAGACAAAAAAAGCTTGTGACTAGGGGAATGTTTTAAATGGGCTTGGCTCTATTAGGCCCAATCATAATATGGGTCTAAATATCTCTTAAAACCTATATTTTTTAGGTTCTTATGATTTTAAACCCGATTCAAACGTTATTGTTTTACTTTGGAGCATGCATGCGACACGAAATATTAAAAACAACTACCACTAGACTTCTAACGATTGCGTTTGCTGCATTTCTAGAGCGTTTGAATCACCATTTAATATTTTATGCTGCTACCAAAACATATTGATACTAATAAATTGAAATGTTGATGGGATTTTCATTTCGCTGTTGTTTGACGAGGAATAACAACAGTAACGTTGTATATTTTTTGTATTATTTTCGTTGTAAAATTGCATATCCGAATTATTTTTGAAGATATCAGAAGCTAACTTGTGTCCATTTTAGACTTAGTATGAATAAACCCAAAACATACTATTGGATTATACAATAACATATTATTAGTACAAGTTCCACCAGAACGCTCACAAACTTCACTATCAGTTATGGCTCGCGGTGTGTTTTATTAACTATATTATATGTAATAAGCATTCACTAAACGATGTAACAAAACCATCGAACTAAACATAACATTCTTAATTATTCTCTTAGGAATCTCATGAACATGGTACGTGACGTCTTCTCTCTATACTCGCTTGCCTTAATCAGTTCGATGAAGGTTGCGGCGCGTAAGGCCTGAAGATTCCTGTAGCCGGCGCTGGTGCCATCTCATCCAACATAACCGATCCAACCGGTCCAGGAGTATCCATCACAATCCCGGAGCTCCTAATTTCGGACATTCCTCTTCTTGAATTTCCTTCTTGTGATTCACATAGCTTTGGCAAATATACTCCTATTGTAAACCAAACAAATAAATTAAAACCGAAATGATCTATGTAGAGATAGGAAAACAAATTAAACCGAACCGGTCTCAGAATACTGTATACCTTCGCCAGCAGCAAGATTGAAGAAGAGATCGACGATGTTAGGGCATTGGGTTAAGCATTTAACCGAGCAGAGTTTCTGAGTAAACCGGGATTCCAACAATGCGTCTGAAGATATACCCAAAGATTTCCGGTCTACACCACACGCTTTAATGCACTCGTCTGATTCAATAATGTTTGTGATCTTGTCCGCTTTTATCTCCGATGATCGACACGTGTACACCTCGATCCCACTCCTCTTCACACTCTTCTCCAAAACGCAGCGTTTTCCGGTCGCCGAGACCGCGAATGTGCACGTGTCTTTGTTCAGATTCTCGCACTTGACTTCGTAGACTTCCTTACCTACGAAATTAACGCCAATCGTAATTAGTAACTAACAATAATAAAATGTTCAAAATAAAATGAACGTATTTTTAGAATGCTGTATTAAAACTAAAATTTTAGAGAATTTAAAAAAATTTGAATTTAATGAAATTTTAGATGATATTATATGGATTGGGGAAGTTGATATGATTTGATATTAAAATTATATGAAATTCTACATAAAACAATGAAATTTGGTTTTCTATATTTTTAACTAATAAACTCCACCAAATTATTTAGAAGTACTTAATATTTTTTAAAATCCAGTATTCAAAATATTTCTAATAACAGTGGATATGATTTAATTTTTATAAATTATTGATTGAATAACATAGATTTTTAAATGACTTTTGTTAATTTTACATAAATTTCATGTTCAATAACATCAGTTTTGATAAAACATTTAGAAATCACTAATTAAATAATAGAAAATTTTAAAACAACTACCAAATTTTTTGAAATTCCTAATCCAATACACTCCCTAAATTTTTTTCCTCAAAATAACAAAATGTCTAGTTAGAAAATGTTGGTGACTTAGTTTCTATACCTTATTTTCTATGTACAAGTGAAAATTAAAAAGCGATTAATATTTTGCAAAGAAACTTACCAAGAGTCATTTGCAAATTAACGGCAAGAAGAAGCATGGAAACAACAAAGACGTCTGTCTTCAAAGCCATGTTGTGAAGAGAAGAGAAAATAGAAGAAATGCTGAAACTTTGAGTAACGAAGAAAAAGATTTTCTTTGGTGTGGTTATGTGTTGGAGCAATAGCCCATATATTTATAGAGGGGTGAATACATTAAATAAATCTTATTTTATATGTTTTTTCCTTAATTTTCAAAGAGTAGTGACAATACTATTGTTGACAAATGCAACACCATGGAGTGTTTACACTGAAGAGTCGTAGTTATATTAGTTAGGTAAACATTTCTATTTGATTCGTAGTTATATTAGTTAGGTAATCACTTATGATTCGTAGTTATATTATTTAGGTATATTCTATTTGATTCGTTAGCAAACAATTTTTTTTAGCAAACAAATTTGTTTTTTTATATCTTTCTGACTCTATACGTTTGATGAACTTAAGTGTTTACGAGGGTGTATAAATTACGATATAAAAAGATAACACTCAACTTTTTGATTGAGTTCTACTAAACCAAGATATGTTTCAAAATTAATTGGTTTGTACATTGCAATATCATATGAAACTTCAAATACCAACAGAAAAATACGTTAGTACAGATTTCGTAAAGACAATGGTTATTTAGTTTGATCTTCTAAGCTAAAGATCTAACTATTAATACTATCCATAAATTAGACAATCTCTAGTAACAATTACATATAATTTAATTTTTTACTGCAACTCAAATTCCATGTATTATTATGTTGGTTCAAATAGATTAGAGATAACTAATCCGAAACCATTGGATTTACATGGGAAAAGACTATTGATCAAGCACGAGTTCTTTACAAGAGAACCAACTCATATATAGAAAGTATATAGGCATATAAGCTAAGGAAAATTCAGAAAAGCGTGGGCATAGTTGATTTTAATAAAAAAAACCAAGCATTTGAATAATAATTGTGATTTTAACATATATAAACGAAACATTAATATGTGAACAAAGCATTATACGAACAAAACATATAGTCTAATATAACATGTGTGTTAGTGTCATCGTTGTAAGATCTGGATATCTTCTCTAAAAAAAATATAAAGATTTGTGTGGGAAAAAATAAAGCTGTTTTATTATTACCCAGCTCGAAGTGTACAAGGATTTTATGTCGTCGGAAAAGAAGGCCGACCTAAAATTTGAAAGTAAAGATCGAGATCTAAAGCAGGAAGCAAGAAGCTATTTTTTGCCCTAGGTCTCGTGTCCGAATTGTGAATGAATGATCTTCGAGGGAGGGGACTCTTCTTATATAGTCGTCGTAGACCGCCTTGAGACGAATCCTTCTCCTTCGGGATAAGGATAATTTTCTTTCTTCTCAAGGCACTCTTTCCTTTTTTTCCGCGATACGAATATATCCTTGAATATTTCCGAATCTCAACGCCGACCTAACTCCAGAGGCGGAGGTAGGGTTTCAAATGGACATTCTCAAATTATGAAGAGCTTTTAGCAAGGGGTGCTAAACCCATCACTAACAATTAGTCTCTCCCCCCCCTCCCCAGTTCGACGATCTGGAGTAACAGTTAGGAGAAGATAAGAAAAGACAGCTCGGCATTAATTGAGATGGGGGCATTTCGAAGCACGGGGTGCACGAAAGCTACTTCAATTTATACGAACCCTGGCCGATACGATTCAAAATCGGGACTTGAACCGTGTAAAACAGGTCGGGACTGCGCACGATATATCGGGCCTCATTATAGGTCAGGCTGACAGCCGCGTATAATAGGTCGGGCCTTATTATAGGTCGGGTTGCAAACTGTGTGTAGTAGGTCGAGCCCTACTAAAGACCGGGTTCTGGGACACGTACAATAGGCTGGGGCTTATTATAGGTCGGGCTCCTGAGCCGCTTTTCTCGAGCCGAAATAGTCTCTTCGTCTTCTGGGATACGACACGTGTCAATTTTTCGAATATATTTAAGCACGGGAAATACAAACCGTCGTAATGACTACGGGTTTCTCGAAAACCGTTTTCGGTTTTGTATAAAAAAGGGGTGAAGGTCTTCCTTTCTCCACTTCCTCTTCTCGCGAAAATCTCCGAATCAGGTTCGCTCTCCTTTCTCTCTTCTTTTTCTCTCTAGAATTTTTGTTCGGTAGGTCCGGTAGCCCTAGGATAGACCGGGTCGTCTGTAGAAGTCTGTACAGTCAGTAGAAGCCTGTGCTTCCAGTAAGATTTAGGTCGGGACCCGTATAGTTAGCGAAGATGAATCCTCGCAAATCGTCCAAAGGAAAGGAAGTGGTTTCCTCGTCGGCCGAGTCTGAAGGCAGTGTCAGCTCGGGGTCAGATAAATCTGGCCGTATGTTTGCGCACGCGATGAACATAAATTATGAGGATATGACCAGGGATCAACAGAGGCAAGCGGCGTTGCGATTCGAGGAAGGTCAACTAAGGATCATAGCTCGGGGCGACACCGGGCCCTCGGCGGTATGGGAAACAATCGAGGTACCCGAGCTGAAAGATGAATCGGACGAGGCCGAGAGTGTCGTCAATGTATCGGATCAGGGCGACGCTGATAAAATTGGGGGCGCTAATGTTTTAGCCGATTGGGACGAACTCGAGATCAAACCCGAGCCAGTAAGCCTTGGGGCTTCAGAGGAATCATGCGAGAACGGGATTCTAGACAAATTTACTCCGGCTTCGTTTAAGTACTTGAGGCTGTACAAGAATAATGCCTCGGCTTCTGACAACACCTTTGGCGTAATCCGGTCCCGTACTACATGGAGGTCACTGAATCTGCTAAAGGAAGGGTGTAGAATCGGGCCCAAGATTAAATTCGTGGTCCTGAGCCCCGAGCAACGACCTTGGAACGCGCCGCTGGGCTACATGTGCTTGTTCGAGCACTTTTTCTTATATGCCCATCTGTGGTTTTCGTTGCCCCGGGTTCTTCTGGAGTACTGTACGAGGAGAGGGATGCCGATCTCGCAGACTACACACGCCTGCATCCGTCACGTGGTTAGCTTGACGGTCCTTACTCAGGAGAACGGGCTACCGTTCACTACCGACATCTTCGAGGAGATGACCGATATTAAGCCACAAGGGGGGAATACTAGGAACTGGGGTTCGTTCTATGTTAGCATGAAGAGGAAACTGAACATAGTCACCGAGAAATCATCGAAGAAGGTCGACAACTGGCGAGACTGTTATTTCTTCGTGAAGATTGACAAGAACACCGTAGTTGATACAGACGTCCCGATCCTAACTAAATGGGCTGATGTGATCGGTAGCTAGCCGATCCTTAGCTGTAGAGTGTGTGTTTACTCAGTCCCGCGCTAACTTTAATTTGTCTTATTTTGGAGAAACGCCGACAACCCCGATCAAGCCTCCTGTAAAAGGTTTCTTCGAGCACAGGAACGACTTTCAGAGATTAAGCCACGACACTTGGCCGCAGTTTACCATCGAAAGGGTTTCGAGAGCTGTAGGTAGGTTAAGGCAAATAAATTCCCGACCTTAAAGGTGTTCCCGGGCTAACGTACTTTGCTTGTCAGGTCTTCTATGTCGAAAGTCAAAGAAGAAAATGCTGATTAAGCCAAGGAAGACGAGGGACTTTGCCAAAGAACTCGAAGAGTCCTTGCTGGCCACGAGTGGTAGGAACGTTGAGCAAGGTCAGGTGATACCCTTGCCTCATATGCGAATAATCCCGAGGTCATCTTAACCTGGGCTGATCCTCCTCCAGTGGGGGTCCCAGACTCAGGAGCTGAGGTTCAAAGTGATGTCGATCCCGTCCTCCAAGGAGTCGGGGAGGAAGCTCCAGATGCGACCGCCGTCAAGAAGACGTTGAAGAGGAAGAAGGCTGAGAAAAGGAAGGGCAAAGCTGCTAAGGAGACGGCCCAGGCTGAAGAGGAAGCTCGGACCGAGATAAGCCCGGAGAGGCTAAGGGCTGATGATCCCAGGCTAGGAGCTGAAGATCCCGAGCTTCCAGTGCAGGAACCGGTGAAGGTCGATGCTGAACCCGTCGCCAAGAGACGCAGAGCTGTGTCTTGCCCGAACAAGTATGCCTTTGAGTTTAAGTACCGGAGCAAGGATCCAATTCACATGGACGAAATATCCAGTGCCCGGTTAGCGTGGGAGATAAAAGGTTTACCCCTCCCGTCCTGCAAGATGGACGAGCTCTTCTACAAAGATGACTTCGTCTGAATGGCTTCGGCAGAAACTCGAGTAAGTTTTCTCAGTTTTTCATACCCGGGCTGCCCGCAGTTTTACTAATTCTTTAGCGTTCTGAGAATTGGTTCCGTTCTATTTCAGGCCAAAAACCTTGCTACTGCAACGGTCAAGCGGTACGACCATGCCCTAAAGAAGAGCCTTCTTAATGAGAAGAAGTTAGCCGATGCTGCCAAGGCTAAGGAGAAAAAGATGGCCGGGATGAAGGCAAAAATCGATGATCTCGAGCTTTGGGTGAAGTCGCAGGACGAAGAGAACAAGTCTCTTACGGCCGAGCTAGCTTCATCCCTGAGGATATTTGAATCCGAGAAGCGGGCTCTTGTCAAGGCCAGGGATGATTGGGCTCTTTCGATATCATCTTCAGTGCGCAGGTCGGTGTCTTCCCATTACGTTGCACTAACTAGGAAGACGCGGGCGTACACAGCCCAGCGTGAGGAGATAGACACGAATGTGACCTCCCGTGCTAAGCTGGAAAGACAGCTTGACGCCATCAAAGTCTTCGAGCAAAACAATTTTAAGTGCCCACCGTCAGTATTTGAAAAGGTCGAGGTCGATCTCCGGGAGCTGAACGCGGAAGCCGAGCTGTATGATGAGATAGAGCTCCTTGACGAAGATTTTGATGTGCCCGACCAGGCGTTGGCCTTTCCGAGAGATCATCCTGCGGTGGTTCTCCTTGGAGATGACCATGGATTGAACCAAGGGAGGTTAACTCCGGAGATCATCGACAAGCTGAGAGATACCCCTGATTTGGAAGGTATTCAGGACGGGTTTAACTCGAACCGGGCGCTCGTCCAAACGACCATCGAACAGGATGTGAATCCTGGTGGCATTTCTGATGTGATTGGGGAAACAAGAGAAGAGGACCGGGCAAAATCCGATAATGAAGAAGGAGGCGAGGAAGACCAAGTTGAATTAAACCGGAACGACGAAGGCCAGGCTGGATCTGAGGATGCGCGTGATGGCGCTGAAGACGGGGAGATTAGAGATCCCGATGAGTGATCCCTTTGTTTGTGCCGAACTTTGGCCCGCGCTGCGGAGTTAAATTCTGTTTTTTTTTGTACCCGTGCTACGGGGTTTTTCTTAGTTTTTGTTTTGAATATGAACCCGCGCTGCGGGGTTTATGTACTTGATCTTTATCTTGCGATTAATGGAATTCACCCGTGCTGGGGTTTATAAATATGCGTGTGATAGTGGTGCGGGGTTGGTCCCGGCTTTTTAACTTAGTTCGAATATGAGCGTGAGAATGAAAATCGGCTTACATTGCATCATACGACTATATTCATAAGTTCAAATATTAACATGCGAACAGGTCGGCGTATCTTGTTAATATGACTTAGAATTTTCTAGGTTCGAATGTAAGTGTGAGTCTGGGCTCGGCTTTAAAGATGCCCGGGTTATGTAGGACACACTTTTCCCTTCGATCTTTATGGTGATTTTACCATTATGTTGAAGAGGAACGTATGCAAGACAAGACTTGACTTTGGTTATTGCCGAGTTAAGTTGATCAGACTTAACTATAGGCGTTGTATCGAATGTCTGGCCAGGAGACCGATGTGTAGTAGATCTCGGAAGCGTTTATAAAAATAGTAAAGTATAGAGCTCGAGAGCACACGAAAGATAGGTAAAATATGAAGATTTTATTGAGTTATAGCTGGATCTTTGCAGGCTGCCTACGTGCCCAAAATGGGATCAAGCCATTCGTAGTTCACATTACATAAGAGATAACTAGCTCGGTAAGAGCTCCC